CACATCATTCAAACCATTTATCATGTTCAAATTTTCCAACTTCAATTTCAATCCAAAGCCCTTCAAATGATTCATTATTATGTCATAACATTCTCAAGTCCAATCCGGCATAAATCGAGGAGAAAACATTGGCCCTTCTAGGGGAGAGATAGATCATGTCATATCAAATGAAGTATTGTGCATAGCACATTGCATAAAGAAAATGTAGTATTATATTATGTGAACTCAAAACATACAGTATTCATTGAAGGGAATTTGTCAAAACTGAAAACTTAAATTTCTTTGGAAAGGATACTTTCCACACGGAAACGTGTTCCAGGCAAGTTGGATCCCTCTTTAAAATACAACCTAAAACTAACACTCAATCACAAATCTTAAGACAAATTAAAATACATTCCAAAAATAATCAAAGCATGTCTCAGACAACAATTAAACATGCTCAACACACAATCAAGGACAATTCATTTTCTTCCAAAACAATTTAAAACATGTCTCAAATAAAAGTGGAAAGTTTTGTCTTGGAATTCATTCTGAAATCAAGAGATCTTATGTCTACAAAAAGACAGAATCACGAAGCCAAAAGAGGGGATTACCATTAAAAAAAACACAGAAACTCCACAGGTTCGAAAGAACTTGCACGCAAACATAAACATAACCACACAAAAAAATCACATACATAGCAGGCACTAAAACTCTCACGCAGAAAAGTCATGATATCCACAACAGTCACACATACTATGCGCAAAGTATACGTATCAAAAGACCGGCATAACGCGATCCCAGAGTAACTAAGCAAATCATACAATTTTGAAGAGAGGAATAGCAATAATCACTGCAAATTGCACGCAGCACAACAGTAAGAAGCAGAGCAACAACCATCCCATCACGACACATACACAACGGCAATGGTAACAAAAGCAAGGTTAGAATTCATACCGTAAATCTCTCTGTAAATCGTCATTGTGTTAATTGTGTAAGGGTGTCGAATTCGTCACGAATCGAATTAGAAGTCGAATTCACCATGAACAGAAATAGGAATTGAACCAACTCTTACTCCAATTTTGTGATGTAATCCCGAATTCAATATGGAGTTAGGGGCTAAAGCTCGTAGTCGAAATTGACGGTAACATAAGCGATTTTGAATCCTAAGTGATTGCTAAAGGATAACTTTCGTGTTGAAGTGACATTGCTGGTGGCGTTTGCCGGGCCGTGGTCCTGTCACCACGAGGCGCGATTTATAGTGGATGGAGGGAGAACCATTCACAAGAGAATATGCAGAGATCAAGAGGTTCAAAGCGCGCCTGGATTCAATTGCGTCGATCTAAAACGAGAGACTTGAGATGTGAACAGGAAGATTATGAATGCAGTAATCCATCCTCATAGATGTCGCGGTTTCCCTCAAATGCTGATTTGTTCTGAGATAATACCCTAGAGTAAGCCTTGTACATAGCCACTGTTGTTTTTAAGAAGAAATTAAACCTAACATTGATGTTTCTCGGGCTGTTCTTGATGACAGTTCTTGATGCATGACATTATTGATTGCTCAACTGTGTGATTCTTGATTTTGTTTTTAGTTTTGACCTATCACATGATAACTTAGGTTAGACTTTCCCCCTAGAATTTCTTAGACCAGTTCTCCTACAAAGAGAACTAGACGTGATTCATCTACATAGTTGAGATGTAATTCTCCTACCCCATAACGCAATCGAGAGATGTAGAATATTTTCCGCTTGAGAGAGCTATGTGGCATACTCGTCGATAAATATGAGCTATGAGCCCTTCTCTCAATGTGACGCAAAGACCATCTCCTATAAGTTGTGGTGGTTTAGTCGAGTATTCTCCCTTAAGATGACGACTCGTCTCTTCTCCTAGAATCAATCATCAAACCTTCTCCCCCTAGAACCTTGGCCATAATCAAAAGTTCCTCAATCCCTTTTAGAGGAACTATGAATGCTCTGATTCCACTTCCGTCAGGATACGTAGGCACAAGATGCGACTTCTTGGCGAGCATACTCAGAAATAAACCCCTAGGTCTTTCACCCTTAGCTAACAACAATAACACCACATAAAACAAGAGGTTCCTGTAGAGTATTACAAATGCTTAGGATGCTAATATCTTCCCTAATTATAACCAACCCCCGAAGATTAGACTCTCTTGCTTTTGCATTGCATTGCATACTTTTGGGTTATCCGATCTTTTTTCTTTCCCTTGGACAAATTAAAGACCGGTGGTGAATCATGAATTAAGATTCAAGTTAATCAATAGCTTGATATCCAATTTTCACCGTGAGAGTAGTCTATAAATAGACTAGTTCTTTTAGGTTGTTGAGAGATGTTAATTGTTGATATTCACTTGTAATCTTTGGGTCTTTATTGATAAAATGAATAGAAAAACTGGTTTAACCCATTGTTATTCTTCTTCTTCCTTCTTTTCTCCCTTTTATAAAATATAATAGGGTTTCTAGTATTTGTTCAAGAAACTCAATCTTTTTTTCATATTTTAATGTGTTCTTAACGACATCAATTCAAAAAAATTAAATTTTAATTAAAAAAATTATAGTAAATTGATTTCATAATCTATAACCCCTCCCGGCAGAACTGCCACTGAGGTGACTTAACGGAACAAATGGTCAAATTTTAAACATTGAACAAAATATTGAAGGAGTATGTTTGTAATGAGGACACATGGGTCATTTCGATGAATCATTTTATAGAATACCGCACGACCAAGTTTATTGGAAACAAGTAGACACTTGAAGGGTTGATCTTCATTTTACTCTTATCCACACTATCCCATATATGTAAGGACCAGCTTATAACACCCTTTTCATTTAACCACTTTTTATTTTCTGGTTCTAAACCATGGCTGAAGCTATCATTGGTTTTAATGTTTTCAACTCACATTTTCATAGCTCAGGCCTTCAATCAAAAAGATTTGTAGTCAACTCATCTTCAAGATTGGTAAAATACTCCTTATTATTTTCATCTCTGGATGAAATCACTTGCTAGTTTCAAAGATGAATATTGATAGTGTACATATGTTTTTCTTTTGCAGCCTATGCTCCCTCCAAATTCTATACCTTTTCACAAGTCATGGCAGGTAAGTATTTAACGTCCATTATTATTAGACGTGCCGGTGTTGGTGTGTTTGTGTTTCATATATTTTGATGACTCTTTGTTTGTGTAAATAAGGTGTTAGGTGGCAAGAGGAAAATAGCATCTTTGTGTAAAGTAAATGGATTACCAGATATTCCATTGATGGCAGTTCTTGTAGAACAAATGGAAGGACAGAGAGATCTTATAACTGAGAAAACAATTTGGCATCTTAGTGATCAACAAATAAAAAATGCTTGTAAGTGTCACTTATATATTGTATTAATGTTTTGTTGTTTATGTTAACTTAGGAGTTTACATTTTATTTATTATTGCTAATTATTAATTCTTTGCAGACGCTTGGTACGTAATGTTCACTTGGTACGTAATGTTCACTGTTTGGGGAGTCTTGTTTTTTGGTTCTATGAAGGTAAATCACTTTTCATTGTTTGATATGACTTTATTTTGGCGAAAACCGAAGTTTGAGGATGTTTTGTATGATTTAGGACCCATATTATGATTCAGAAACATATAGAGGAGATGGTGGAGATGGCACTGGAAACTAGATTTATGAGAAGGTATTTATTTCTCTTATGACTTTGTTATTGCTGCGCAAAAGCGTCACACAGGGGAGCACAAATCAAACCCTGTACGTATAGAGCAGGAGGATCTAACCTACCACACCAAATTAAACCTGATATTTCTATCTATTTTTATAATTTTCACATTATTCATAGATAAATTTATTCATAGATAAATTTGAGTTAAGAGTCTGAACGAAATTTCAGATAATTCATTTAAAAATTTTGATAACATACTGAGTTTTCGATGATTCATTTTTAAATTATTAGTAAGAATTTTTTATTCGATTCTTCAAAAACTAATTTATATTACAGAAAATTTTAAAAAAATATTATAGTTTATTAAAAATATTTAAAATATGGTAGTTTATTGAAAATTTTGAAATTTCTGATAAGGTATAAAAGTTTTCAATTTTTTCTCCTTTTGAAAATTTCAATATTTCTTCAAATTTTTTCCCAAATCATTTATTTTTTACTAAAAATTTCAGAAAATTGCAATAAACACAATAAATTTTTTTTAAAAGAATTAATAAGGATATAAAAATAATAACAACTGCTATAGGAAGATGTCAGGTTAAATTGTGAAGGTGGCCGATTTTAAATCCTTATAAAATAGTAACACATTTGAGGCCCACTGGCCCAATGGAACTACGACCCATATAATATCAAGGGTAGGAATTTTGGCTTTCAAAATTCTGTGTGTCTGTATATAATTTTTTTTTTAATTTATTGACAAGAAAAACATCCAGTAAGTTAGAACAGAAAATCAACACTTGATGTTGAATTATGCAGCAAGAGATAATGGAAGCAGAGGCAAGAGAAGCTCTATGGCGAGAGGAGTTGATTGAGGAAATAGAACAAAAAGTTGGAGGATTGAAAGAAATTGAAGAGGCAGCAAAGGAAGAACTTGTTAAATGATTTGTCAGTAAAAATGCATGCCTTTGATTCCATCCGTCAAGTCAATATTATGTATATAACTAGATCACGGGAGTAAATTCTTATGCTTCAAATCTACGGTTTATTTCTTTCATTATAAATATTATTAGCATCACTATTATATATTTTAGGTAGCAGTTATAAATAATTGTTAGCATCACTGTTATTGATAATGATTTTTTTAATTAAAAGTAATAGTAAATTATTAAATTGGTCATCATTGATGACTCATCAAAATATTATATGTAGCACGACCCAGTTTATTGGAAACAAGCATACACTTGAAGGGTTGTACTTCATTTTACTCTTATCCACACTATCCCATATATGTAAGGACCAGCTTATAACACCCTTTTCATTTAACCACTTTTTATTTTCTGGTTCTAAACCATGGCTGAAGCTATCATTAGTTTCAATGTTTTCAACTCACATTTTCATAGCTCATGCCTTCAATCAAAAAGATTTGTAGTCAACTCATCTTCAAAATTGGTAAAATACTCCTTATTATTTTCATCTCTGGATGAAATCACTTGCTAGTTTCAAAGATGAATATTGATAGTGTATATATGTTTTTCTTTTGCAGCCTATGCTCCCTCCAAATTCTATACCTTTTCACAAGTCATGGCAGGTAAGTATTAACGTCCATTATTATTAGACGCGCCGGTGTTGGTGTGTTTGTGTTTCATATATTTTGATGACTCTTTGTTTGTGTAAATAAGGTGTTAGGTGGCAAGAGGAAAAGAGCATCTTTGTGTAAAGTAAATGGATTACCAGATATTCCAATGATGGCAGTTCTTGTAGAACAAATGGAAGGACAGAGAGATCTTATAACTGAGAAAACAATTTGGCATCTTAGTGATCAACAAATAAAAAATGCTTGTAAGTTTCACATTATATATTGTATTAATGTTTTGTTGTTTATGTTAACTTAGGAGTTTACATTTTATTTGTTATTGCTAATTATTAATTCATTGCAGACGCTTGGTACGTAATGTTCACTGTTTGGGGAGTCTTGTTTTTTGGTTCTATGAAGGTAAATCACTTTTCATTGTTTGATATGACTTTATTTTGGCGAAAACCGAAGTTTGAGGATGTTTTGTATGATTTAGGACCCATATTATGATTCAGAAACATATAGAGGAGATGGTGGAGATGGCACTGGAAACTGGATTTATGAGAAGGTATTTATTTTTCTTATGACTTTGTTATTGCTGCGCAAAAGCGTCACACAGGGGAGCACAAATCAAACCCTGTACGTATAGACCAGGAGGATCTAACCTACCACACCAAATTAAACCTGATATTTCTATCTATTTTTATAATTTTCACATTATTCATAGATAAATTTGAGTTAAGAGTCTGAACGGAATTTCAGATAATTCATTTAAAAATTTTAATAACATACTGAGTTTTCGATGATTCATTTTTAAATTATTAGTAAGAATTTTTTATTCGATTTTTCAAAAACTAATTTATATTACAGAAAATTTTAAAAAGTATTATAGTTTATTGAAAATATTGAAAATATGGTAGTTTATTGAAAATTTTGAAATTTCTAATAAGGTATAAAAGTTTCCAATTTTTTCTCCTTTTGAAAATCTCAATATTTCTTCAAATTTTTTCCCAAATCATTTATTTTTTACTAAAAATTTCAGAAAATTGCAATAAACACAATAAATTTTTTTTAAAAGAATTAATAAGGATATAAAAATAATAACAATTGCTATAGGAAGATGTCAGGTTAAATTGTGAAGGTGGCCGATTTTAAATCCTTATAAAATAGTAACACATTTGAGGCCTACTGGCCCAATGGAACTACGACCCATATAATATCAAGGGTAGGAATTTTGGCTTTCAAAATTCTGTGTGTCTGTATATAATTTTTTTTTAATTTATTGACAAGAAAAACATCCAGTAAGTTAGAACAGAAAATCAACACTTGATGTTGAATTATGCAGCAAGAGATAATGGAAGCAGAGGCAAGAGAAGCTCTATGGCGAGAGGAGTTGATTGAGGAAATAGAACAAAAAGTTGGAGGATTGAAAGAAATTGAAGAGGCAGCAAAGGAAGAACTTGTTAAATGATTTGTCAGTAAAAATGCATGCCTTTGATTCCATCCGTCAAGTCATTATTATGTATATAACTAGATCACGGGAGTAAATTCTTATGCTTCAAATCTACGGTTTATTTCTTTCATTATAAATATTATTAGCATCACTATTATCTATTTTAGGTAGCAGTTATAAATAATTGTTAGCATCACTGTTATTGATAATGATTTTTTTAATTAAAAGTAATAGTAAATTATTAAATTGGTCATCATTGATGACTCATCAAAATATTATATGTAGGATATTTTAGTCTCTAAGAGTCACAAATTTGTAATATCTCTCATTTTACCTCAAGTGTGGTTAGTAAAATTAATGGTGATTGATGCGTCCGCAAGTGCACAGAAATATCTAAATAATATAAAAGATTTGTCGAACACACAGAGAACAATGTCAACCTACGGTTATCTATTGTCGCGGCGTAAAGCTAAGGCTAATGGAATTAGGAAAGTTAAATGCGAATGAAATTAAATACAACGGAAATAAAGATTATTGGTTTAAGGAAGAGCGATAAAGGGATATCGGTATGTAATGCTCTAGTTTTTGGGGATTCGACAGGTCGCCGGTGCATTTTAGTCTTTGTAAACACTTTTCAGGAGAAAAATAATCGTTTAAAGACCTTTGCCTCACGATGGTTGTTGACTCGGGTCATAATTCTAAGGCAGAATGTACGTTATCGCAGTCCCATTCGGGGTTAAAACTACCTTTTGAAAACAAATAAATTCTGATTTCTTTTAAAGCGCTTTCGCTGTGTTTAAAATCAATGCCTAGTTCTTACTATTCGGGTTGAACCCCAACTTTCGCGTGCCGGCTCGTGCCTTAATGAATTTCTCACTTTCGTGGCAAAACTACTGTAAATAATTTCTCGCTTTCACGACGAAGGTTTATTTAGAAGATTTTGATTAAAAACTACGCCCAGAAAGGTGTTTGTAAAAAGGGAAGGTGCACCGGGTATTATCGAATCTCATCCTACTAATTCGATTAGATACCGGTAAAACTAATTTAGCTAGACATGATAATTAATGCAAACAAAAATAAACAATTGCAGCAGAATAAGATAGCATGCATACTGACAGAAATAAAATAATAATTCAATTAATAAAAACCTATAAATTGTACTGATCTCGAATCCTTGAGTAGTCCTCCACAATGTCGGCAGGATTCTACTTTGGCGAGAAGTAAAAGGTATAGGAAGAAATACGGCGGTACAAATGAAAATAAAAAGGAAAGGAAATGGGAAAATAATGCAAGAACGTAAATTCAGCTTCAATGGAAATTTTGGCAGCACTTTGATGCGTCGAAGCCCCCCTGGTTCCTGTGAATCTCTAGCCTATTTATAGGAGATATTTCATTTCTCAACTTCCAGAGATCATGCGTGAGTTATGGAGAAAGTGGGAGTAACTTCCAGTAGTGGGCAGTTAGTGGAGAAAGTGCAGGAAGAAATTATGTTGAACGTGCTCGTGGCCACTTCTGTGTTTCTGAGATTGGAGTCATGACGACCGTAATAGAACTGTGACGAGCGTGATGGTCGTGACGAGCGTGATAGGGCATGACGACCGTGATGGTCGTGACGGGCGTCATGGAGCTGTGACGAGCGTCACACTCACAAAATCTGTTTTTTCTGTTTTTTTCTTCTCTATTTCTTTCTTTTCCTTCCATTTCTTCTTCTTTTCTTTCTTTAATCCAAATTCTCCATAATCTGCAAAACATAGTAAGTTAACCGCATAATAGAACATAAATCAAGATAAGTTAACAATAGTCGTAAGTAAATTCATGTAAATCGAGTCAAATAAACGATATACTTTTGCGTTATCAGTGATTAGTGAGATGTGTAAATAAGTAAGTAAAACTATGATGCTAACCTCATGAGTGACATAGATTAGTAATTTAACTTAAATAGGAAGGGTAAAATAGTACTATAGATTAGTAACTTAAATAGAACTATAAGCTAAAATTAAAGAAGAAAGCCTCATTTGTTCCATTCTTCTCCGTATGCCAATCTAAATTTTTAGAGAGAAAGAGAGCATTAATGGAGAGGGCGAAAATAGAGTGAAAGGAAGAGGAAGAATTGATTAATTGAAGAAAGGGTGCTGCTTGCATGAGTGAAGTTTTTGAATTCTTGAAGAAGAATCAAGGTTGAATTGCGAGAATCATCAAGTGATCATCGCCATCCTCATCTCATCTCCTTTCATTTCTGATTTCAAATAGAGGTGGGGTTCTTAGGATTTATAATTAGGGATAGCCATTAAGGACTCTTGTATGTTGGGGTTTAGGTTAAAACTTATGTTGAAAATGTTTGTCGTGTTTGATTTCATGACATATTCACTTGTTTGATTATGAAGGTGTGAGTAATTGGTTGCATGCATTCCATGTTTTAGTTCACTCTTTGGTCTTTTCTAGTGATAGAATGTGATTAAATTGAGTTGTAGCTGAAAAATCGACCAATTTCAAGTAGATTTTTGAGTCAGAACAGGGTCGTAACCTATTATTAACAGATAGGGTCGTAACCTATTAATAACAGATTGTAACTGATTACCACTCGAGAAAAATGCCCAAAAATGATTTTTTTTTTAGGCAAAGGCATCATTTCACCGATAACTTTTAGGTAACCGATTACCACTTGAGAAAATTGCCCATAAACGAGGAAATATCTACTCATAACTGATTATCTCTTTTTGGTAACCAAATATACACCCTGGAACCACCATAAATTGAGTTTCGAAACTTTAATTTCGACGCAGTCAGTTGCGTTGAAAATATAATTCAAAGTTCTATCTTATAGTAATATTCTATGATAATGTTAGGTATTTATGTATGTAATTAACCTTATTATTCTATCTTATAATAATATTCTATGACAATTTTAGGTATTTATGTATGTAATTAACCTTATAAGTAAAACTTAGGACATTAAATATGGAAATAAATAACTAAAGGCTCCTTGATTGTGTGATGTTGTATGATGATTAAATAGATTTAGAGTAAAGAATGTTAGAAATCTTAGGGTGGCCTAGGAGGAGTGTAACACTCATTTTAATTATTTAGTCTTTTTCGTATTATTTTGTTTGGTGTGTCCTTGTGTGGGGGGGTGTCTGAGTGTGTGGTGGGTACCCTTAAGTTATGGGGATTGTTTAATAAGTATGGAATTTGATATTAATAAAGTATGAATAATATTGGTGGTAATATAGTAATTAATGGTAATATTATTATTACTATTATTATTATTATTATTATTATTATTATTACTATTATTATTATTGTTATTGGGTTAAATAAATAAATAAGAAGTTAAAGGGGTATTAGGGAGTCTTGGAGAGAAGAAAGACAGAACACGATAAAAATTAGTTTTAGAACAAAGTAAGAGGTAAGGACAAGAGGAAGAAGGGAAGAAGGCTAGGGCTAACGATTCTTGAAGGTTCTTTCGTCAATCGGAGCATTAATCGAGGTAAGGGGAGAAACGGGTTAAGATTGGTAAATTGCATGAACAGGGTAGAGGGGATTCCTTAACCCCGTAGGAATTTGGTGAACATGAATGACATATTGAAATGTTGATGATTATTGTTGTTGGTATGATGAATTGTATGTGCATTGATGTGTTTATGAGCATGGCTGCCATTGATAACTTTGGGTACGTGTTGTTGTGAGATTGGGGAAGTTCTGATGATGAACATAGGTGTGGGTTCTGGAGTTAAAATTGATAGAAAATGATAGAGTAGTGTTTATTGGTTGTAGTATTGATAGGACTAAAGATAGAAGTAGAGTGATAGGCTTGAATTTGAGGAAGATAACAGTTCTGGACTGTGAGGGTTTTGAGAGATCGCAGAACTCGCTAAGCGAGTAGCTAGCGAGCGAGCTAGCGAGCGATTTGCTAGGTAGTTCGCTAGGCGAGCTAGTAGTGAATGTTCACTAGGGCTTCGCTAGGAGAGATGGGTAGCGAAGGCTTCCAGTAGCCACTGTCTTCCTTCGCTAGGGAGTTCTCTAGGCGGGCAGCTAGCGAGCGTTCGCCAGGGCTTCGCTAAGCGAATGAGCCAGCGAGCGTGATAGGATGTGATTTTGTGTTGTATTGCGTTGTGGTTCGTTTGGTAGGATCCCTTGGGTTGGGACAGGTACAGATGTAGTATTTAGTGGTGAAGAGTATATACTTGGTGAGTAATAGGTGAAATTATGTAGTATTGAATTTAATTGAAATAATTAAATTAATGTGTGAGATGTGTATGATGTATGGTGAGGTGATCAGGAGGATCATGTTAATTTAATTAAAATAATGGATTGGGGTGTATATGTATATGTAATGTATGATGAGGTGATCAGGAGGATCGTGTGATTTTAACTAAATTAATTAATTGGTGAATAATATGTGTGTATTATGTGTGATGATGTGATCAGGAGGATCGTGTGCACTTAGTGTGCTTATGTTATTGTTGTGCATTTGGTGTCGTGCATATCATGGTGTTTTTGTGGGATGAATCATTGCTCAGGAGGAGTGTATGTGATTCATCCGTACTCTTTTGTAGAGAATGGTGAGGGATAGATCATTGCCAAGGAGGGGTGTATGTGATCTATCTGGGGTTCGATTGAATGAACCAATGAGTCGGTACCGCATGCATGGTGTTGAGTTGCATAATTGCATTATTATACGTTGTGTTTGATGTTTGGACAGTAGGTCGTGATTGGTGTATGTTGGGTGATATCTATGTGATTTCTGCCTGTAGTTCCATGTATTTAATTACCAATAATTTTGATCATGTTTTCTCACCCCTTTGTTGTTGTTGTGGTCTGTGCTTCTTCGGAAGTACAGATAATCCAGGTACTTAGCTAACTTGGATAGTGGTGTGCGAGTCGAGTCTTAGGATGCTTTGATACATAGCACGGGATTTGGGCGTTATTTGTTTTCATGTTGAACTTCTTTTATTTCCTGTGACATATCATGTGGATGAATTTTATTAAGGACTGTTTCATGTAATTGGGCAGGTGGC